CAGTATTATTCCCTCATGCGGGAAGACCATTTCACCCTAATTTCATCGATCAATCGGAAGTGTTAAAAATAGTAGCGGACGTCTACAATATACCTTGCACATAGTTCACAAATACCAATTGTAAGTTGTTCGTTTATTTTTACAACGACTAAAACTCACGCTTTCCCGAACTTCTGGTAACAGTCGAATTGGTTGTGTTTCGTTAGCACCAACAGCAGCCAAACGTGGAACGGGACGTCGATGAACGACGCATCGCCGGTTCGGCTCTCTACTGCAACTGATGCACTGAGGTCACAGTAATTAATCAGGTCTATAAAAGCTAACCCCTCGCTGGATGTTTGCAAGCCTTTTCTCCTTGCCAGTTCATGCAAACGTCGCCGCTCTGCACGTTCCATTGGAGGGAAACAGAGCTCTGCAAAGTGCGAATTATCTATTCAAACTCTGCGAAGAAAATGGAATTGATTACATAAGTTCAGCGGAAGAAAAGTTTATGAACGAAGATGAAGTCATCATAAGCAGCCCACCTGTCGCAGAACCATTTACGAACTCATCTAATTTCGCCGTCACTTGCCGTTCCCAATTCGCATCAATTAACTGCACATGAGGACCATACTGAGGATTTTTGAAGCTTAAACATAGTTATTATAATGATTACTCAGAAACGATGGTCTACCTGCTATTGATGAAATGCTACAACCTTACGAAGTCCCATTAGTTGAAATGAGATAGTAAAGAAAAATTATGAGAAGCAGGCGGGCATCGACGTATGTACTCTCATGATAGGTCATCGTTAACAAGATTTGCATCTCTGACAGTATCGTTTTTCACATTTAGTCTTAGTCATTGTTACTATAGTAGAATAGTGGCACTTCAACGAAACACAAACTGACGAAGATGGTAGCTCTGGCTGGAAAATATAAGAAATGCGATTCCACCATTTACATGTTTGCAGCGAGGTTTCCAACTTTACACACTTATAGTACTCCAAACCAGAATCCACCTCGCATGGGTCGCTGCCCTTGACCAATGAGGTTTCACGAAATCAGCAAGGGGAAATCGTCTACTATACTCACAATAGTCCATAGACTTACGTGTTCCAATGTTTGTAGATGAACTTGAAACTTTCAGAGTTCGTCAAACCATTCCGCGAGTCACGTCAGGGATTAAATTAACTCTCATTAATTGTTATTTCTCTCATGTTTTCATGGAAATCAAATTGAAACAGTGGGAGCGAAAAGTGATAGATCTTATGCTGAATTGGAGCTTTCTCAGTGTAACGATACTCGTGAAACTGATCCTTGAAGCCTTTTCTGCTTTTTTTCTGCAAACTTCTAATAGAAACCATTGCAATTTGTTTCTGTCGCCCAGTGGCATCAAATCGGAATGCGAGTGTGTTTTTAAACGTCTTTCCCATAGGTTGTATTGTGACCATATTTACTTACACAAAAAACGAGCAAAAATCCCCACGATTTCTGAGCCAATGGAATGGATTTGTTATGATGAAGTGCTGGCAAGAATGTTGGATATTACACAGAGCCTGGGGAATGAAGGGAGTGAACTAAGAAGGGGAGGAAAGGTCATGCCCTACTGCGGCATTGAAAATTTACATTGCTAAGTTTGCGAGATTCGTAGGGTTCTTCAATAGCCGAAACTCGCCCATAGGGACAGTTCAGGCTCTTATTGAACCGTGTCGAGCGTCGCGACCGCTCACGCGGCAAATTATGTCCGTATTCTTAGTTTGGGAGTACTATCAACGATCGTAAAAGCAATCCTTTTTTGCGGAAACTATTTAAACGCACAAATCCTGCATCACTATATCTCAACTGCTGAGATAAAGCACATTGACCAGTGGGTGGCATCAATGAACTGAAATTCTGAACAGTTCTGAACAATTTCCGATCCAAACTAATTCAAATTTATTTCATGCTAGCACACATGTAATAGAGCAGAATAACAGAAAAAAATCTCAAGAAATCAAAAGAAGAAGAACAGCTAAAGGCATGCGAAAAATTTAGCGTGAATACCAATTTATGAGTAACACAGAATTAATAAGCGAGACAAAGATAACGATCTAACAGCTCTTTGAAACCTGTAAGAGAACCCGGCCCAGTATTCTCTTCGCTAATTTTTGAGAAATCAGATCCAGCCCTAAAGGTGAAGAAGTTGGGTACTCATGGAAGAACATGGTCAACGAAGTAAAATTTTGAGTGATTGACCCCTTGTTGAGACGGATATAATTTGAAGAAATCTCCAGTTCTAATATCAACTACGGAATGCTGCGGTAAGTGAAACCTAATGAACGGAGGGGAGGAACACCTTCCTAGTGAAGCTATTTTGAACTCTCAATCCGATCCACCAAGGCCTTCTTACCAAGGGAGAAAACGCATGTACCGTGTACAAGCATGACTCTAACATAAGTTTTGTATGCCAAAATAAGAGGCTGTGAATCATTAGAGCACAGAGATTTGAAGAAAAGAAAAAGTCTACAAACTGGAGAACCAAAAACAAAACAGAACTCCGCCCAATTCGGTGCACGCAAGGTGGCCCGCACTCTTCTCATTTTCCCATCTATTTTTTCTTCTTTTTCACTTTTTTGATTTTTTTGTATTCAAATGACCTAAGAAAAAACCCTTATCATGAGAGCCAGCCAGTGTTTGGAGGGAAGTGGCAGAAGCTCTTTAAACCAAATAACCGACAATTACCAACATTCGATGCTGCACTCAAACCCGCTGCAACTTTATCACCAAAGAATCCAAACCACTTCCAAGTTCATACACGTTCGTCTCACAGCATGATATAATTTGTGATTAACTTGTAATCTGAGCATATTATTTCCACATACGTGCATTATTCTGCACAACCGCCATTTTACAAAACTCGTTATACCATCTCGCCGCCGTGTCTTCCAGGGAGCTTTGAACCCATAAATTTTCCATAATTTGGGGAGCTCCACAATTTGGGAAGCAAGTGATGAAGAACACATGATAAAGAAGGAACGTAACAAAAATTAGCTCAGCAGGACTCAAACCATCTGTCTGCATGGTAGTTGGACGAACAATGAAATGCTGCAAAGCCAATTTGTAATCAGAAAAGAGGAAGGTTGAGAAGGGACACTCTGAGCACTAAAACGTGTTAGCAGCTTGGCATGAACGAGAATTTTAGAAGTTCCTTTTATTTACAAATGCAAGAGCAAAATAACCCAAGTAAGGATTTTATTTATAGGCAAAGCAGTAACTTAGTATGTCAATCTGTTTTTCGGTCTGTCGGCCATGCTTTATGCTTTCGTTTTAATTGATAACCCTCGAAAATGACCATATCTATAACAAAGGTAGTGATGTTGTGACTGCTGAGTCCAGAGCAAGTGCAAAAAGTATAGGCTGGTGTGCTATTAGGGAGAGCGCTCATTTAGCATGGATCACACATAGATGTACACTTCGCCCCGAAAACCACCAACCATGAATTGCGAACGATCGATGGCTATCGCACAACCGGGAGTTGAGAATTAGAAGTAAAGCGGCATGGCACTCAGAACCATTCCTAGAAAGGGCCTTTAAACAGTGAACCCCAATCAGAAGAAGCCATTGTTTATGTGTTTCCCAAAGCTAATCATTAAATTGTTTTCTAATTACGTCAAGCGTTTATCTGAACAAGGAACTGACGAGCCACAGTTGATTTTCAGTGAGTGCTTAACATAAACTAAAATAAGACAATTATGCAAAAGACAATCCTACTAACGGATTGGAGCAGTGGTGCATCAATCTCTCCTATGCTCGTTCATGTTGGGGGCGTGGGACCTAGAAAACCCTTCCATGTTGATTTTATCGCATTCTACGATATTATTTTGTATGTGATTCCTTCATACTTGAACCTTACCGCAGTTTCGATGCTCGTTCCTATACGCTACCTTACGGTACAATTTTTGAGGCACAAGCGTTGCTATTAGTTCAAGAGGAATGGAAGGAGTGAAGCGAGCTGCCCTCTAACGTTCTTTCATCGCTATGTTCCCATCCTGAGCCAATTCCTACTTGCTGCAAGCGTAGAATTTACGCAAACGAGAAAATGGGGTCATATTATGATAGAGCAGACGATGGTGTAGTGGGTGTCTTTGCACCGAGCGTCTTCGGACTATGCGGCACCAATATTTCGGAGATGCTCACGAGAACCTTTCATAAATCATGCAGCTATTCCGTCCTAATTATTTTCAAAAGGCTGATAACGATGGTAAACATCCTCTTAGGTACAAAGGGAACGATATAGCCGCTAGATATTTCTTCTTCTAAACGCACAACTCTATACTTACCAGCTAACGATCTCAACTTCACCATCTACGCTATTGAGCAACTTCTTCGCTGACCATTATTTCTTAACTTTCGATTCTTTTTTGCTAAATCAAGATTCCTCTCTTAGTCATGCCATGCCGACGGTTATTTGAGCTAACTGGTATGCCACAGTTTCGGTTTCCTCCCATATTTATGAACGATTGTGAAGCCACAGAGTGTGCGAACCTTTTCCAATCGTTGTTCGCTATGTGAGAAATGTCCTTGATGTAAATACTTCCCGCTAGAACAATATGCGTTCATTAATTGTTAAAAGTATTTTTTGCGAATGTAAAAAATCGAGCGAGCAAAGAAACTGCGAATATCGTATGACTCATTAGGAGAGCAACAATTATCTCAAAAGATAAACGATCTTAGCATAATGTTGCGCGATGCGCAATACTTTGATGACTTTCCTACGCTTCTGCAAATTTACGAAACTTTGCCATAGGATTTTTTGCTCAATAAATCTCGAAAATCTGGGATATCTCCACGCATACAACTCGTCTTCAAAAGACATGAATAAAAAACATCAGAAGATAAATTTTAAACACATATATTGTGTTAGTTCTTCTACTCACCCATTGGGCTCATCACGGTCAAAACTGTTATGAAGGTTTTTGGTACGACCTTTACCATGGTTTCCATAGTAAGCCATGAGGGCCTCAGTTGCTTTCAATATTCTTACGCACACAATTCGACTAATCTGCAGAAAGCAACGTCCTGAAACCATTGATTATCACAGATCACGATAGCAATAAGGCAGCACTTAATAGTAAATAGTTTTTAACGCAATTACTGAGTTACCGTAATTACGATCAGTTTTTACGAGCTGAGTAAATGAGTCCTAATCCTCAAGTGCTCAAACTTAAATGTCGGGAAAATGAAATGGTGTTCAATATATCGATATCAAAGCGCAGCCAATATCAACCACAACGCAATCAGGTCAACAAACCAAAACGGATTTGAAATATTTATTCATTAATGTGACGGTGATAGAACAAATCAACAATACCCATATAACTTTGTTGAGTCAAGCATAACAATACGAAAAAATACATACAACATATCTCACAATTAAAAGCAAAGGTAGTTCGCAAAAAGTTCAGAGACAAACATTAAGAAGACCCTCATTTCTCTCGCAAAACCAAATCTGTGCTATTACTAAGGTACAGTTTGTTTAGAAGCATAACAATTCTCCCCATTTCTTACCCTTTCCGTGAAGCTCTATTTTGAGTAGAACGTTTCCGCTCCTTCATTCAAACCAAACTATAAGATGTATTCAATTCAAGATGCAATTTCCGATTTTCCCAACCCAGCCCAAAACAAAAAATGCGTGCTACAATACCTTGCTAAGCAAAAATGGACATAGAACTCTGCGACGGAAACATGTCATTCAATAGATTCTAAGAGAAGTTTATACCTGGATAAGGATTACCTCCGAAGTAAAACAGAATAGGATAAAAATGTCTAGAATGATGTAATCGAGATGACTGGTTTAAAAGAAATATTTGACCACTGTCCATGTTCCTGACAAGCTTTCAAGTATCCTCTGAAGAGATGTCAGCAACGAGTAATCTCATTCTTTGAGTCGCCCATGAATAATATTCATAGACAAGTTCGCCTGCCGACGATGACCATCGAAAGGGTAATAAGATAACAACACAACTTCGTTGATCTCAAAATTGGAATATCGTGGAAGGTGTCAAATAGTAGTCTCGAAGAAGGAACGCAAAAAAAAAATAAACAACTCCTATGAAGAGGTATAAACACAACTATATCCTGAAATACGGTGTGTTGGCCCACAATGGTGAACACAGAGACATATCGTCACATAAATCGACGCATCGCTCAACTCGTACGATCACCTCGTCCCCGACATTCTGAACGTACAATTGTGCCAGTTCTTCTATGGCGTGCTCCTCATCCTCGATAAAATACAGCGGCCTCGAAATGCGCCGGGTTCCTACAGATGGGAGTAAAACATGAAAATGGTAATGTATGACAACATGCCAGTTAGAAAAAAAAAGAGTTAAATGGTTTTTTTAAAAACTGCTAAGACCTTAAATGACTTAAAACCCATAGAACTTCGTTTTGTGCTGCATCACCGCTGCATTTTCACTTAGCAACGAGTTAAAACACCGAATGTATTTATTCCTTCTTGAGATTAGAATGTTCCTTCTACGGAAAGTGCTACTGTGTCGTTTGTCAAGAAGCAATAATTTTAATTGAGACCATATATTGATTCCATTCTCGGAACAAAACCGAGAGAGAACTAAATGACTGAGACAGGAGCACCTCCTCTTTCCGAGTATCCACGGCAAGCTGCAATGGCTTCGTGGCACTTATCGAAATCTTTCAATGGGAACTTAGATCTACCCCTCACCGCGAGCGACTGTAAGCGATCTAGTGCGGCGCGCGCTGGTATAAAAACTCACACATATTGCAACCAAACATTCTTTAAATCCCCTATAGAAGCAGAATCAGCCCTCTTTTGAAAAATTGACGTGAGGTATATGAACGCACCTTCCTTGAGCCGGTGTTCCTCCTCTTTGATTATCTCAGCTAATGAGGGTTTTTGCGGAGAGGCGACATGTGGGAGCCGCAAGTTAGACTGAAACCACAACCATCAGAAGGGAGCCCCTTATGCAGCACTCTTGATGATTCGAATAAGAATTTTAACAATCTCTTCCATGACGTGCCTCTTCGCAAAATGTATACTAACCCCTGTAGTTTTAATTGCCAGACATGTATTTAAATTTAGCAAAATCTTGGACAAGTCTCATCCCACCTCACTCCAAGAGTTGCGGTCCGGTGCAGGTACGCGCTGCAAATTGGCTGTTTCTTGTTCAGAAAAGGAAAGTGCGGTCCTTTTTGATTGCCTTGCGATTTTCGCCTCTTTCTTTGAAGCCATCGGCACAGAAATCACATCAGATTTTATTCCAGCCCTATGTAAAAAAATAATAAAGCGGCGAAATATTACAAGAGAAGGGGATTTTCGTGATCACCTCTCCATCAAAATTGAGATATTCAGGAATAACCTACCAGGGTGCAAAATGTGTGTTTTGTCTCGCTTCACAAAGAAGGCTGCTTGCATCACGGTATTTTACTCCCTTCGAAGTGAACTTGCCAGAACTTCGTTTCTTGGGAGAAATCATAGCCTCCTCCAGCAAAAACGATGTTGAAACAGGAGAGGAAGGAGGAATTGGTATTTTCCATGCTGAGCGCATAGTGGATGACGATGACTCGTTTTCTTCTCTAACCTCTTCACCTCCGTCTCGGTCTGGTGGAGAACTTCCATGCTGAAGATTATTTCATAAGTCGGTGCAAAGCTTTGCTAGAGAAATTTCCGATACTAGTTGTGAGGATAAAGCAAACGAAATAAAATGGAACTTAAGACGAAAAAAAAAACTGATAAAAGTTCTAAATATATGAACGAGTAGTTAGAAAATACATTAGAAACGCTATCTAAACTAGTACTCGCGTTAGGAAATTTCGTGAAAAATTGGCAGACAGTAGTTCTAGTCATTCTACAACACATTATTGAACTCTCATTTCAAACGTGAACCATTACGGGATTGTTAGAAGCCGCAATTCCCGACACAATACATAAAAATGTATAGGGACTTGTAGAACAACTTTACCATCTCTTATTGACTAACGAGGTATTTATTGCATGAAAGATTTAGTCATGATCACAAAATCATTAGTATTTCTTACTATGTTTGTTGTGGATCTAGAAAAAGGATCACTTTACTATAGACGGCCTAAAGAAAACCATAAGCTGATCAAGAATTTTTCAAATAAATTAGATTTTGTTATAAAAATTCAAATAAATACCGTAAATTTACCGCCAGTTAGATTCACGATGACAACCCCACAAAAAATGAGCGAAGAGCAAGTACTCAATACGCAAAAAACTACCGCTGAAAACCAGTTATAACCATACACCCCGCCACATTTGAGGTACCTTCCAGATACTAGTTATGTTTGTAAGAACTGTACATGGGATACAATCAGATGCTTTCTATTCACAGAGTGGAATCTGGACAGTGAGATACTCCGAACCCCAAGCATTTTCTTTTCCATTTACTAGTATGCAATATTTGACTAGCGAGACCTATATCAGAAGAGTTTTCATGGAGAAGCATCAAATGATAATCTTGTTTAACATTATATGAAGTTTTGAGCATATCTATTGGCCGAGAGCGCAAGTAGTAGTCGAAGAATGCTTTTTCTCCGAAATGAAGTATGTCCGTATTATGTGTGGTGAGGTACAACTTGGATTGAACAATTTCGATTGGAGCGCATTTTCCGAAATATAATAATATGTTGAGAGAGCCACGACAGTACACTCTAACTTTCCCATCAGGTTGTGCTATGTTAAGTCAAAGCACTATACCCGACATTCCTGAGAGAATTTGACCTTGTTTTTTAAACGGAGAGACAAAAAAATCCCGCCCTTCAAAAATTAAGAAACTAGTCATTTTATTGATTTCTGAGAGGCATACATTTTTTTCTTTGTCACTCATGGAGCACTCCATTTGTAGGTTTTCATTGTGCTCCATAACTTCCTCAGAAGGAGCGGTGTTGCAAATCTCAGAAAGAGCGATGTTACAAACTGTCACTTCCTCCTCCTGCAAAAGAAATAAACTCAGATCAAAGAGAACCATTTTGAATTGTTTTATTGAAGCTGTAATATTCATAGCTACTCGCTACCCCTGAAAAAATTCTTTAATTCTAGAAAATTGTGGAACAAACGCGTTATCTCTTCCATTCAATTAGACTCTGTCAACAAACACAGCGAACTATAAGAAGGCTTCAGTCGAACTCTTACCTTGGAACAAGTGGGTAACACTTCTACTTGTGGGCCAGATTGTCGCGAACTCTTCCTCCGGTCCCGCTTCGACCTTTTCAAGCATTCACGCTCATTTATTCGCGAGCGAATGATCATCACTAGCTTCGGCATAGATACCTGTAAACACAAATCGCCTAAGTATAAGTTTTGGGAAGAAAAATCTCAAATATCTTACTACGGATATGTAGGGAGTTTTGCAGTGATTCAAATAAGGAGTAAAAATCTAGTGAAAACCAGTTACGAAACGAAAAAAAGGAGCAACTCCTACTCACGTCTGCTGGTGAGCTCTGGAATAAGTCATTGCTTCGAGACTCGTTCTCAAGGTACTCCTATAAAAAAGAAAAAGTCGGTTGAAAGGGGAAAAATCGTTAAAAAATAGGAGAAGCTCAGAATGGGCGAAACAAAGGATTACCAGTTTCAATGGGTTCGCTAAAAGTAAACTTACGATCATTGCTGCTTCTGCTGATGAATCTCGACCGTGAGCACCAAGAAGTACTTCTGTAACGTCCTCTGTTCGGAATAGGTACCACTGAGCTTCACGATCATCTTCGAGAATATGGATGATAGGCTATACAAAAGAATCAGTAAAATCAAGTTAATCGATAGAATTACAGAAGCCCTCCGATAATCGACTACGAAACTAAGCTACTTACCGGTTGCACGCTCACAAACTCCATAGAAGCACTGCCAGTTCGTTCATCACCCATTAATATATCCATGCAAACGAAAGCGCTAAAACCGCTAACTGTCACAGATACTCTGATACACAGATACTCTGTATACATATAGACTTCGACTCACTCTCTAATAAGCTCAACTGATGCTGCTATGGAATTCCGCCAGAAAGTAAGCAGGTGTAAGTTATGGAGAAAGCATTTCGCTATTTGGTGCCGTAGTTGCGGAACCGACTCGAACAGGTCAAAAATGATGCTCACATTGAACTCATTCACTGAATACAAGAAAATAGGCTACAACTACTTCACGAAATAAGAAGATGTTTTACCTCTTTCAAACATTACACGTAAAGCGTCGGCAGTCACCGCGTGCAAGAGATATTGATCGAGAAAGGCGAACAAGTCAAGAAACTGAAACGATCTATTCGATGACCGTCCGATTAGAAATGATAACAGAAGGGAAACTTTGAGAAAAGGCAAACTGAATAGGATCCCTATATTCCACACACATAAAACGATTTCGTTGGGGTTCGAGGAGAGGAACGTTCAACCCTACTTATACGCGAACAAATCCTACTTTAGCTGAACACATATGAGATTAGTACCACTTAAATATACCTCATGGGTCTGTATACGGCGAAGATAGTTCGGATTGATTATGCTCAACAGAGTGCAACGAATCACGCGTTCTGGAGCAGCGAGCTTCAGCTTTGGCATATCACCCTTGTGATAGGTGAATGCCACTCCAAAGTAGGATGACTGCATTTCCAGTAACTCCCTGAAAAAAATTTATAATACAGATCGTATAAGTCACTTACATAGTAGTCTATGGGTCAACACCTTCTCACTGACATTTTGTTGATTCGCCTGTGCGTCGGATAGCGTATTAATGAAGAGTAGAACTCATCAGAAACTTACGCCAGAAAGAACCTTCAATGTGCTCATAAAGGCAGCCGTACCCAACAAAAGTAACATGGAAATAAGTGCTCAGAAGAATTGGTTAGCGAATCCTTCGATTGACACAAGTAATGCATGCGGCTATTTCCCTGGGCATTCCCCTAGCGAAAACGCTTCTCGGGGCAACCGGTGATCAAGACGCACACTATCATCAGTGTAATAAGGAAAATGATGAATGGGAAGGTGGTTGGACTAGATGGGTACAATGGGGACATTGAAGGTGGTTTGAGGGCAAAAGGAAGGGTAGCAAACACCGAAGAAGTAGCGCTGCTGCCATAACTTTCAAGCTGAGAAAGAGTTGTGAAATGTTACAGTCGAGGAATCCAGTTAGCTTTCCATCCCATAGGGATTTTTGAGTGGACTAGCCGTTTCAAAGCTGGAAAACTTGACCTGTAAATAAACCATTTCCCTTAATTAATTACTACTTGCTCCAATTGGTTCGTATTCATTTCGTTCGAAATACAAGTGGCAGATCATAACTTGTTGCATTAAGTAAATCTCAGCCAATCCATGTGCTCCGAAAGTGCTTCCCCTGACACCCCACGTTCAAATTAACCCCAAAAATACAAATGGAGACAAAATATGTAAACTCTTTTCGCTCTCAAAAACCTTCCGAAACAAGCATCAGTAAACTTTTTCAAGGTTCCAATTACTTTCAGTTTTCGGAGTGCTACTTCGGAAACGTGTTCGATCGTCCACTCCAGCCAGTGCTATGCAAGACACTCACAGCGACTGATTGGCATTTTCTATATAGGCCTGCGTGATGGCGCTGAGGTAGCTGTAGGAACTGCACACGATTTGACAAACGATATCCAGGCTGAGGTCCATAAAAAAAAGTTCGCCTTTCCCCACCTACTTCTATGTTAACAAAGAACATGATGAGCTGGCTTTAAGGATGACCCAATGGTTACCTTCTATTGTGTCGCGCCCATGCTGCGAATACTGGTAGAGAATGGATCTGGGTGAATAGAGGGAAACCTATTTCTAAGCTCAAGAACCCGCATTAGTCATTGACTACACAAAGGAAGACAGCGAATGTTCGAAGAGTTCTGATACTGATGAATGTCTAGCAGCTGAAGGCATCGCGGACTAGGCAATAGGAGACTTGGAAGAATGCCGCATGGGGTAGATGAACTGTTTTAAGATTCTACTCTACTTTTATCAGTAAGCTTAACAACCAGCGATGCTCCGAGTGAAAGCAATCACACCCAGCTGTAATACCTAAGATATTGGTATTGTAGGGTGAATGTAGTGAGGGCTGGCCTGGAGACAGCATAAAAAGGAATATTCCTTGATTCAAGGAGAAACCAGGAAGGTTTTCTATGACTTTTTTTATTTCAAACGTTCTGTGCATAATTGCTAACAGTGGAGTCTCACACATTATAGATATGGCCGCCTAGTTACAGTACTACCTCAGTCGTCTTGATAACAAGCGATGGCCAATGTACTTGTCTTCAGCAATTTTACAAGCACGGGAAATCATCAACGAACCATCAACGTGTATATGCGACGGGTCACGACGTTCATTTTGTAATGGCGGTGCTTGCAATGATTTTTTTTAGATAATCACGATCCCTTGTACAATCCTAGACGAAGGAGGCCTTGCATGTTAACCACAGGAAGGGAGCGCGCAGGAGTGAACGCTTTCAAGCACAACTGGTCATTTTTGTTTGAACTTCTCCCAACGATCAACTAAAAAGCGCCTTTCTTAATTTTTGGTTTTCCGAGAAAGGTGAGAAGCGTTGGCTGATAACTATGCACCATGAAAGGTGTCCATTCAGGCTTAAAAGGAAAAGCGCGCCGACGTTCGAACATAAGTCCCTCTTCCTTGTATGAGTTTAGTTCAGTTTTTCAGGTTCCACTATTTGCCAGAATACCAAGTTGAGGAAGGAAGCCACTGTGGTCTCACCATCAATACTTCTAATTGTAAGACCAAAGTAATGCGAAACCAATTCTCAGGCGATACCCCTGTACTTCTGAAAGGAGATGCTATCGGAGACGTTGACGAGTACGTGTACCTATGAGCCAGCTTAACATGAGGAACGACTTAACTGGAGAGTTAGCAAGACGTCGCAAGGCTGGATGGGCAGCATTTAATTCCATAAGGAGCGTACTAGAGGACACCAGGGACTGCAAACTTCGGGCAGACTTATTTAATTCAACGGTGTTGCCTGCTTTCAGCTACGCGGGAGAAACCTGGGCTCTGATGAAATCGCTAGAAAGACATTTGATGCCCACCCAGGCTACGATTGAGCGTCGCTTTTGGGTCTAACGCTGAGTCGGCTACGAGAGCTCAAACTTCATAATTATGACGTCAGAGCGATGTCGAAGACGTTCTAGTTCACGTTGATGAAGCGAAACACAGATTCGCCGAACACCTAATGAGAAGAGAGGATGGACAATGGAGCTCGGCCACTATACGATGGTACCCGCGAGAGAAGAAGCAGCCGCACCGCCGTCCTCCTTTACGATGGGCAGATTCTCTAGCTTATCGAAACAATATCTATATCCGAAGTCCTTCAGGGTGACTACGCACTGGACAACCAGAGCTCAAGGTCGAGAAGAATGGAAAAAAAATTGGGACCCGCGCAAGGCCAAAGGCCGTGCTGATGGACGGGTCGTCTAAGTATCTAAGTAAGTTAATACCAAGTTGAGGGAATAAAAGTGCAAAATCGATAGAGTATGTCATTTAAAAGGAGTGAGTCTGATAAGAGCCAACAACTTGAAAGAAATAAAACATCATGAAATAATTAAATAATCACCGCACAAATTCGATTTCAACGCCATCCTCCGATATAAGAACACAATTACGTTCCGCAACAAAATCATCCAAGCACAGCAATGGCTCGCCTATCTTGTAGAAACAGCCTTCTGTAGTATATGGTACCCCTATCACGCGGCAGGCATCCTCCACAACTGCTTTTGTGGGAGAACCTGCAGCAACACGATAATATGCCAAAATAAAAACAAAAACACAAAATAAAAAACTCTGAACTAAAAAAAGGAGTCACCGCGATTTCTCACGAGATTTTTGTCCAAAATAAGATAATCGTGGAATATGCCTTTACTTTTCGCGTTCGTGGCTTCTTTCAAAATCTGAAACGAAATCTCAAAAACTAGTTGCAATTTAGAGAATGATTGACGACTGCTGTCAATGCTTCTCTTGTTTAGGCGAAGTCTTCGTCCCATCGTCACCAATTGACACACAGCTACGAAAAAAGGCCATTAAAACGCTCCCGTCTCACGCTAACATTTCCTCGTGGTGTGTGTTCCTCCCCTCCTCACCCTGTTGTTATGCCTATTGACAAAGATACGTGATTGTGAACACTCTTCGCTCACAAAAGAATATAAAGTTCTCTGACATCTCAATCTCAAAATAAGCTCCCAAAATTCATGCAGCAAAGGCCCAACAACAGAACACAGAGATAAAAGGACAAAGAAATCAAGGATTTTTTTCCAGAATGCTTCATGATAGTAGTCAATAATGCCGTGTATCACTCACGTCCTCAATCCAAACAGCATTACCGTTCCGTATGAACTTGTCAAGATTCGGAAAGCGTGACTTTATTATGCTCTCGAAAGTATTCGTACGTACCTCATTGATATCATAAACCTAAAAACTCAGAATCTTTTTTCCATTAATAGAACTCTAGGTTGCGTCGGATGAAATAAGTTACCACATCGGCTCCAATTATGCCATTAAACAGAACCCACGTTGAAATCTAACTGAATTCTGTCCAAACAGGCGTTCTCACGTTCCTCATTGAGTTTTGCAAACTGAAATTCGTTCAGACAGCGTGAAAACTTTGGGAAAGTTCTAGGATTGCAACCTTACATCAGTAGTTTCCCATTGATCACAACAGTAACTCGTAGAGCTGTTGGTTACGTATAACAAATTTTTTCCATCTTGCGAGCATGCAAACGATGAGACTAAATGAGCTCCTTGGAATTCCTAAATAATTTGAACTGTAATATCAATAACCTGCAAAACCTGAAACTGACCAGGGAAGGTCCCCAAGTCGAAGTGACTGTTTGAAATGAAAGTTACGTTGTTGGAGACATGCTTTCGGGTGCTGATTTCGAATCTGTTCTCCGACCTCGTAAACAGTTTCTTTTTCTTCGAGAAAGAACTAGGGTTAGCACTCAAAGCGGGCACAAAATAAATGATTAATTTCAACTTGCCGCAGTAGCTTGGAGCAATAGTATGTTTGACGACTCATTTGAGTGAAATTATGACGACGTCTTAGGTGTAGCAAAAATCATTATTGTACAAAACTTCCTTCTAGAGACCTACGAATTCGTTTTATTCTACGACCTTTGGGATGTGCTGTGACCTTTCCCAATTGAAGCGGGAGGCGCGCGATTCATGCGCGACCCCATTAGATCTCTCCGCGCCTGCAGCAACGCTTCATTACCCTTTTGTTAAGTGGACCGAATAAGATTTGCAGTAGTCCAGACTTTATTATGAATCAGAGCAAATCTCTTTACTATGGCAGTGAAGCCCCTTCGAGATTAGGAACTCATTTTATAGTTCAACAATGTACTTGTCAAACCTTCAAAATAGGAATAACTTCGAATTTCTTGATCCTAGAAATGCAATCACAAACGTGCATAGTTGGTCATTTTTCTACTTATGTCTCATAAGTTCTTATTTCTCCCATTATGATGGTGGACATGATCTTATAGCGCGTCTCGTCTGATGACCTCCTCATATTGACGCGTGGATCGCATCACACCCAATTGAACCATGCAATATCGCTCAATTTTGTTCCTTGTTCACATTTCAATTTCAAAGAAAGAATTCTAGGGAATCGCAAAATCTTCCGTTGTGGCCAGCCATCCCCGAATTCCCAAAGAGGCGTCCTTTCGGGGTAGCTCATGATTCCAACTTTTGCGCATGCACCTGTGACTCAATTCTTCGCTTACTTTGACTTATCTGCTTTCTATTCTGTTCGTTTATGATGTACTATCGGCCACAAAGGCGCTCACCCATATGGTTTTTAAAGGCCTTAGCTATTTTGTTCCCCATCTAGTAACTGTGAGGCAACACAAAATGACAAATTTTATTTTAAGCGTAGTGAGAATGTGCAGGGGAAAATTCTATGCTCCAGAAATACGAAGCCTAAACGACCTTTTTGTGTTCCTGTGTGTCAGATGAGTGACGGAATAGCAAAGAATTTAAGGCAGACAGTACCGGGCGAGTAAAGATAGGTTGGTATCTGAAGACCCTGTTCTTTGATTAGACAAAACAGGTTTTACGAGGAACTAGACCTAGCTCGAGAAACAACTCCAACAGATTGGAGAACTAGGCCCTAGAAAGGCCCAAGGATGCCGTTCATGGTCAGAATATTGCGATGTAGGAACTTGGGTACAATCAGCCATGAACCTCATCCAAACATTTTGTAAAACGATTCCAGAACTTACAAACGGGTTTTATCTGCCGACCAACCCCAGAATTACAACTCCAACTGGCTGTGACTGGATGGTTGTTAGAAACCCTTTAATTAATATCATAGAATCATATTCAACCCCACGATTTATGGTTTGTTTATACTAGAAAAAAGCTAACAGCCTCTATGGAATGACAGGAAAACTTTTCCGAATAGAGAGGTGTGAGAAACGTCGCCCAACAAAGGACCAACTCTATTCAAATGACTAATCCACAAAGTAGAGCTATTTATCCTCACCGTATTTTCTTACCAGAATATATAACGATGGCTTCCCCGAAAACTCTCATTGATAGCAGGCAGGAGAAAGAAAAACATTCAGAGCAAATGCCAACGGGTGAATATTTAAACACTGTGAACATTTTCACTCAAACATTTTCAGTGTTGCATTCTGTCACATAAGTGAGGTGGAGCAGAAAATGCGGCGCAGCCTCTACTGAGCGAGGGAGGAATACATAGGCTTTTAATTAGATAAAGCAGGTTTTCGGGGGATGGTAAACCTTTACTGTGGAAAAGCAATGCAAGAAATTGGAAAAGAACTAAACCCTAAGAAAGCCTAATAAAGCCGCGAAATCGCCCTTCCTGAACCCTGCTCTAGGTGCCAAACCCTCACTTGATTATGCAAAAAACTTTATTCCATGGTCGTTATATTGACAAACAACAATTAGAAAAAGCCTACCGATGTTCGCTCACCTTGCACACATTTGCACAGAGTCATTCCCGCTTACCCCGCCAGTGCGTACGCCGTCTTTGGAGTAGCGCATATGCTCACAAAGCGATGGAAGTTATCATCCTCTAAATGTAGAGCGCGAGATTCAGCAAAGGTCCAAACAAAATTTCAAAAAGATCGTACAATGTGATAAAACCAACACGACAAGAATTTCCCGTCCTAAACTTGAATGTCCTGTTGGATGGAAAAATTTGCTACCTACAGGACCTCACCCATGGTCTTACCCACATAAGTACACTTACCAACTCCGAGCCACCACGGGTGCATACATGCCTTTTGTGCACGCTTATCTTTGGTTTCTACCTTAGATTACCAGGATAGCTCCATTCAGAGAACGTTTGGTGAATTTTAGAAACAGTTTCGACAACAGCATCTGGCACGTCTATCAGTACAGTCTCATTTCATACAGCCGCATTCACTCGTAATCCTTCTTCGATAAGTTAGAATGACAACAAAACCTGCAACAGCAAAAACACACGAAGGCCAGATATTATTGATCCAGTTCCATGAGCACTGGTGAAGCCATCTTCCACCTCCTTGTCTTCGATCAGCACAACTTTGCCACGATGAAGAGTATAGTAATCCTTATGTAATTATTTTCAAATACGCTAGACAGAAAGAAAATTAGGAAAATCCAACCGAGCAGGAATTGCGTGGGCTTCCCATGAACATAACATCGCCTGAAAAGGGTAGATGCTACAATCAAGTTACGAAGAAATTAAAACTGTTTAAGGAATAAGAAGCTAGGTTTGCATGGGTTTCCAAAGAAACTAGAATGAAAATCAGTGCTGCTGAAGTAGGTTTTACCCTAACCCCTAACGGGAAGCTTAAAATGCGACATGCCATGAGTTCCTTCACTCTACAACACTCACACTGAGCGGCGTTTGATGCTCATAAAGTGAAAGCTAAAACAGTTTGTTGCTGGATGAATGTTGATGCCAACAACAGTGTAACAGAGGACTTAATTTGCGGCGATAATGATTATTTATGAATGATGACTAATGCATAATTACAGCACAACAATGTTTAGACTAACCTTTCGCTGTTACGTGATAATTCACACATCGTAGATCTACCAGCACGCCATTCACACTAATCACGCACGGTTCAAGGGGCGCACGACCACTGTGAGAATCAAATGTGTATTTGAGAGTACCAGCATCATTACACAGAGTGACCTAAACTGAGTAGTGTTTCTTACAAATATTGATTTAGGAAGTTGATAATCGTACCATCAAATCTTTCCTTTTCTTGTGGTTGTATGAGAAAGTCACAAGTGGCATGATCTAGAAAATTAAATTTACAGTAGCCAGAACTATAAAAAACTGCGTGTCGTCCATACTCTAAACTGTGCTTACTTCCGCCAAGTGGGTTGTTGGACAGAATCTTTGCTATCGTTTGACCTTACGCGGCATATTCAGTGTCGCCAACAGTGTGATGCAAGCTCGTATCTTTTTGTAGTGGTCTGATTTTGATGATCCTTCAAACTTATATCACTAAGAGAATCATCTAATGCTTCACACCAGTTGTGTAAAACTTCTGATTTAGTGAACCCAAAGTTGCAATATAAGGCCGAACAATAATGAGATTCCATCCAACGACGAAAAGCAAAGGCAAAAAAGTAAACACAGGAACAACAATAGTGAAAGGGGGACTAACCCTATAGAAAAACGAACCATTGATGTGAATCCATTCCTTACGACTCCCAATTCACTGAACATGGTGAGGCAGTTGGCATCAGACCGGATAACGTCGTAAATGTCTGAAAACTGAAAAAATGAGCAACAAGGAAAGGATTGGGCGGACGAATACAAGTTTAAGACTGGAAACTATTCAAAAAAGAAAGAAAAAAGAAAATCGAGTGCCAGAAACAAGCGCTCTGCGCAAGAACAACCGTGCGACGCCGTTTTCAATAGGCCCCCTAGCCTAGAAATTCCGTGTATATCGACAATATTGTCTGCCTTCACGACTTCAAGATTAAACTCTAGCGCCATCATATATTATCTGATCCCTTGAAACATCCCTGGACATATTCCACTGAGTATCACAGCCTTTAAGTAGCATTCTTCACGATTCACAGCTTCCTTAGTATCGTATCTCGGCTTGCACTTCGTCGATCTGAATTTCAATACTGGCTAGGAAACGACCTGATGTCAGAAGGAGGCTTGTAATTAGTTTTCTCTTCTGTCGTTGCATATGAGGGTCACTAAGTTTAAAAAGTTCGTAGACAGTCCGAAATTATGGAGAATCGGTCATTATCTGCAAGAGCGGCTGGCTCACATAATATTGTTACAACTAGTGAGACAGTGTAATTACTTAAACATAGATTAATTGTATCAAAAGACTACATTCAGCAAACCGTCGAACAATACGTCAACGTGTACAATTTTAGATTAATGCATCTGACCTCCGAACATGCGAAGCTATGTAAGGAAGCATTAAAAGAAGACTTGGAGCAGCGGTGGCTGGATCAGAAAGCAAGACGGTCTCCGAACCGAGCTAAGCAAATTGGTTCATAATCCACAGCCACAAGTATCACAGAGAAGTCGTAACAGTGTAAGATGTCATTAGTTTTCATGTCTAATTATTTGAAGAGACCTTCGAAGTCATCCTGCGTGTGAGTCAGAATACGATGACAACGAGGCGAAGCGGCAGTCACACTACCATATTAGTGGTCCTCATAACACCCCTTAAGAGCATTTGAAGCCAATGCTGTCTCGTTTCGATAGCGCTGAAGAAACCATCCCACCCAAGAAGTCGCTAATCATGCGAAATGGAATTGCTCCTGTACGATTTTGACGGTAAGTGAAAGAAACATTTCTGACCGTTCCAGTAGTGCACGCCTGGTCGGACAAGCAAAAAAGTTGGTCCTGCCTCTCGGATTTTAAGTCCTTTCAACATTTAGTCACGCTCAAAATAAAGACTCCACCGATACAAAATGGGCATGCTTTTCAGCGTCACTCATTGAGGTTCGAAAAGAACCGCTTCGAAAGGATCGCTTTTCAATAAAACATAAGTTCATGAAGAAGAGTATAATAGATTTAAGACTCGTCATCAAACAGAGATCAGTATCACCCTGCACTTTGTCAAGTAATCGATCAGGTGGTTCGGGGTAATCATGCGACTTCAGGATGACGGCTTTGAACGAAAGAGATGTTGCAGCTCTCAAGCGGAAATGGCCTACTGGACAAGTAGAAAAAAAAGCAAGATATCGCTCCCTTATCGCTCATTTTTGCTGAGAAGTTTCTCATACTTCCCAAGTGTTTTTCACAATACGAAAGCAAAAACTGAAAAGCGAGCTGTTAACATAGATTTAACTTAATGACGAAGAGGTACCGCTCACCTAAACATTTCTCCACTCTCGTGAAGCCCTCATTGACTGTAAGCGGAGTTTTTCCAGCGATCCAAATTTCGCTCGTGGCACTGACAAATGCGAAAATAACGGTACAATAGTCATTTGTGAATACCTAAAAGATCATCTAAAAGTATTTTCAGCAACATCGTCCATTGATATCCTGCCATCCGGAATTTTTCAGCAGTAGAGAGTCGAGTTCGCAAAAACTAACGTTTCTAATCGGCAGCTAGCGAAAGTTGACGACATAGAAAAATCCACTAGACAAAGCCCAAAAGCTACATCTGCTGATCTGATTGTTCCTTTGTTTCAAGCAAGTCTAAAAAGCCAAAAACAGGTACACTTGCTTCCGAGAAGGCGCGATACTTTATGAAAAGCAGCCATGCTTCGCGAGTTCGCTTTAAGAGAGTGGTACGATGTTTACAACGACGTGACCACACCGGCGCAGAGAGGAGAATCTGGTTCAGGTTTGCCACCGAACGTTATCGAATTTCCCTTGATTGAATGAATTAATTACGATGAGATCGACTTGTCGCGTAGCAGAGCATACCGCTTTGAACTAGCCCCCCCTATAAAACCGAGCACTCGAGTTTCGGAGCCATAACGAGGAGTGAGTTTTTTTCGCAAAAGGAATCTAGAAAGCGAAATAAGGGCATAAATTCATCAAAAACAAGTGCCACGACTGCTATTTTAATAACAAGCCAATGTCAGCACTGCCCCGAGTCTCAGTTCTTCTTCAAGGGTCCTTTGTGAAGTACGACATAAAAATGATCAGGGCAGCCGCTTGACATAACTATCCAACAACCCAACCTTCAAATAAATGGTGAATGGTGCAGTACATCTCGCCAAGAAATGGCGTCTAGTATTCTGGTGTGGCGAGTAGCTAAAGTCCTTTATAGGCATGGGTAATGTCGCTTCCACATGGAAGCTTCCTCATAAAAAAGAAACAACAGAAATAAGCGGAAAAAGACAGAGATCAACAACTGAAGCAGATACAAAGGAATCGGTCGGGGTCATTATTTTTTCATTGAATGTTTTAGCGTCATACATGGCACCTTACTATTTCTGCTTCAAGTACTACGGAATAATGTGACGAAAAGATGTTATGCTGAAGAGCTTTACACAGCTCCGCTAGAAAAATAAAATGCTCCGACGCAAAGGCCGTCAGCGGAAGACCGCCCTAAAATCGCCGTATGCCAGCGGTCGACGCTGTACTATGAAACGCCTACTCCGGTATAGAAGTACGGAGTGTATTGGGGATAGAGAAAACTAAGTGCGGTCAAAGAAACAGACGGGTTGTTAAAAAGAAAAACTGCAGCGGAAACCACGAACCATCCTTTTCTACCAACCTTGTCGAAGTGAAACTTCTTCATGCCATCAGGTAGCTGGAGCTTGACCTTTGTCACTGGATACTGACATTTATCGCTTTTCTGACCGATGCAAAAATTGGAATTCAACCCGCACACGTAAACCTTAATGATCAAATTGAATCAAAATAAATCCAGCAAACAAATTAGACAATCTCGAGAAACAATAAGGCTGCTTCAGCCATTAAATGTGCTCTGTTGATCTTGCCCTATACTCTACCCGTCCCAACTTGACAAACTTCAGGTGCTTCTTTACCTAATACCGAATTCCTTGACAAATAAACAGACAGACAGAAACGAACTCTTTAATATAGTAAGTGCTAACCCTGGACACTTTTAGAATCTTACACATTCCTTCGTAGTCTCCGACCGTTTTACTGTGAATCTGACCCAATTCCTTCGATAGCTTCAAACGGATGCTTCGCTCACAGCTTGTCGGTTGTGGATCGAATTCATCCCATTTGTTGACCCTACACCCGCCCTCTTTTTTTTTCTGGTGTCAGGGCTGGCAAGGCCAAAGTAAGTGTTTTTGCCCGTGACACAGACCAGAACTGTGCATGCCCCGCTCTCCGTGGGCGGAGCTCCGCTTAACCCTTTGTGTTCTACTGATCTCGCCTTAAGCCCAACCCATTCCAAACTTGACCAAACCTCTCCAGGCGCTTTTTCAGGAAACCTCGGATTGCGCAGCATAAAGAATCGAACGCTTCTTTCACATTGACCGAATATTGCAGCCGCGTGACTCATTCATTCCAGGTTTCATCCCTTTAACCTTTTCTGGGTATGACACATAGGGTAAAGAGAGTTACTTTACCAGATTTTCTTTTCAGAACAATAGAAGTCAACTAGTTACTAGAAAAAGGTGAATGTTTTCTACATCTTTCCTTGCAGTCTTTTCTGTAGTCTTCAATGTTGTTGCAGAACGGTAAAAAACATCGAGTCAATTGCACTCATTGCGCACTTTCCATACACTCACAGCTCCTACTACACAGATACCAAAACTAGGCATTCAGTTGTTTTGAAAGAGACAACAAAAAATCAACCCTCCAAAAAACGTGGTGGTTAAGAAAAAATGGGCAATATAAAAGAACCAGTCGGAGCACCCACCAGGCACCGGGCTTCCTTGCGACAAAATTGCCACACCCGACAGGTCGAAAAAGGAATCTCATCGTACTCTCCTCATCTCAGGAGCGTAGTGTGATCCTACCACTTATCATCAGTGCTCCCATGTTGTCGCCTGTGCTTTCTATCAAATTTCAACACTCTAGGTCCCGATAAACAATTTCATTCGTGCCCCTTCCGCTATAGTCGGAGTCTCGCCACCTATCACCACTGTCCCCATCCTGCCGCTTGCTAGAATTGACAGTTTTCAAGCACGCCTCGCCTACTTTGAGCCCTGTCACCAACCATAAGTCCCCAGTGCCGCCTGTACACCTAACAAATTTGAACACTCTAGATAGACAGGAACGGGTGGTATAATTTCTGGTTGAACACAAGCACACGTACATACGTATATACACATACGGCAAATTAGCGCATTGTACATGGTGTCCCAAAATTATTGGCGGCGATTTTAGCAATATATTTCAAACTTCTCAGCTGCGAAAGACGTTGGAATCTCTATGCACGTTAGCTAACGCTATGTGCTACAACACACTACAGTCGCCTTTGAAAATATCCCCCATGAGCGAAGTCAAAGTTTGCTCTCGACTTGATCGCATGTGGCACGCAGGTGTCCACCTCCATTTCTTCCCAGCCATTCTTCAGCTTTTGCATTCTAGGACTCCAAACTGGGACTGCAAACTCGACAGGTCCTCTTCTAATCAGGGACCATTCGTGGCATTCAAGTGAGTCAAGTTCTGGAAAATAGGATGACCATTCCTCTTCACCAATGAAGTCGGGCAGCTGTCGTCGGCACCACTCGCGGGCAAGCTCGGCTCTGTGGGCTGGAGTAGCGTCCTGCTGGAAGGACTATGAGATGTTTCAGAAAACGTAGTCGGATCAATGTTTTATTTACTTCCACTAGTACGCCGTTTGAGTACTGGTCTTGGTCAATTTTCACGCCTGCACCGAAGAAACCACGAGCGGCTTACCCTTGCCAGTGATTTCCTCGAAAAACATCATTTTACTGTTCTGATAACAACCTTTTGTGAGATATTATACGCTGGATGATTCTTTCCGGAACGCGAACGTTTTGGTTGTTGAGGGATGGTTTTATCGTAAAAATTTTTTTTGATCAGAGAAAACGACGAAGGGTTGCGTGTCATCACTCAAGTGGGTCTGCGACTTTCTGCATTTTTTGGTCCTGCAGAATCTATTGAGATCGGGATTGGAGCATACGATAGGAATGGTAATGAGGCTTCTGCATCACATTCTTCCATCGCGGTAACTCCTGTAAACCGTGCCCGTTGACTTCCTTTTGAAGGGTCATCCAGGATCCCGACCGATTGGCATACGGACCATTTTAATAGTCCTATCTTCAGAAACATTCTACCTTTCTATCTTTCCTGGTTTGTCTCTGATTCAACCTTCTTTACTATATCGTTTAATAGCCTCCTATACGGTTATTAGAAAAATCCCAAAGAATTTCATAACGCTCTTCCACTCCTCGCGCGTCAATGATTGCAAGTGGCATTGAATGAGCCTCCTCCTTCTGAAAGATAATGGGAGTTCCACATCAGCAACCATGCATATTGCAAGGAAACCTTCTTATGCAACTAATTAATAATAGGTAATGTGAATTTGATAGATTATTTCTACCTTAAAAATTACTGGACTTTGGCGCAAATAATTTTGGGACACTCTGTATATAGGATATATAAAATGTTAATAAGCTGGATGGTTACGTGCACTAGTAACTATCACTTTTAACTTATATGATAAAAATAGTACAAACCGTATAAACCTACACTTTTTGAGGTAACGAAGACAGAGTGATGCGATCCCGCTGCAATGTCTACGAAGGGAAGGGTCTAAAAAAAGCTATTATTATAGCATATCTGGTGAATCAGAAGATCCAATTATATTCACCTCTCCGGGAAAACTGAGCTTGATAGGATTTACAACCAGGCTTCCATTACTTTCATCTCTTCCAAAGTTTGACGCGAGGCCACATCCAAAAACGTCGCCTTTGTCCGTTAGAAACAAGGTGTGACTATTTGACATGGACACTTTTTTGACCTGTTAATGAAAACGAGATTAGATGCACTTTTACACCATATGTGAATAAAAAACAATTCCGTTTTAATAACGCATTCATGATCCACTGACCGCTTCTAGAGGAACTTTACGTGCGTCACTAACGGGCCCATCTGCAGCCAGTCCTAGCGTGAACGTGGAGTTGTCGCCGATAGCCATTACATACGAAGGAAGAATTTCTAAAATCCTTTCTATATTTGTATAAACCACAAGATTGGTGTGTCTGTTTGTATGTCGTGAAATTCGGCTTTACCTCAAAGAGAACTTCAGAGGGTTGGGTCTAATTCGGGATGGGTGTAGCCTAGGAAAGATCAATAGAGCACATCTGCGTTCAACGGAATCCCGGCTACCCCACAACAGAACTCCAGGGGCGGGACATGCACCGAAATGGACGACATCTCAAGCAAAACTACTTTTTGGGCAAAATTAGCAAAGCTTAGGAATGGATGACAAACCAGAAGATCGGCCCTTAGCCGGGCTATTCCACTGGTAATACTTATAATACAATACACAATAAGTACGACAAAGCGATCTTGCAGGCGATACACCCACAATTTCAGAGTAGAGCCACGATCCTAAATCGCAGTAACCACTTAACAGCCCGCAGCAAGGTCTACAATCCACTGTCTCGAACTATGAAACTCGGTTCTATTGCTAGCGAATCAGCAGCTAAATGTCAAGCACACAAAAATAGTGGAGTAACCACCAGGTAAGACGAAATACTTTCTGAATCTCTGAATTTTTCTTAATAGAAAAAACTAACGATCTCTCTCTTGAGCTGCAGGAATAACATCGTGGAGAAGGAGCCGTAGTGGCACCGTTACGTTACTCCGCATATTGCGAATTGCGTTCCCTATCAGAACAGCCAATTCCGGAATGTTCCATCGTCGTAACTAAAATAATACACATTACCTAAACAAAAGAACACGACGAAGCGGACAGACAAACAGCAAATAATCGCAAATATGTCAAGGTACATCACGACAAAAAATATGACGCACCTCATTGATTATAAGGTACTGCGTCCATAATGACTTGGTTGAGTAAATTTCCGCCAAACGAACAACATTAGACGTGATCACACGCTTGCATTCTATGAAAGTAAGCTCCTCATCAACAGAAATGGTAACAACAGGGATACGTTTCGTCTGCTGACAACAGGAAATTAATAAGGTAACCAACCTTCATCGAACGGTACCTCAGTGAGCAAGAGCCGCAGGCACCAAAACACTGATGGAAAAAACTCTGGGTGGCGCGACATCGTCTTGAATAACTCATCTAAAACCCGCGATGTTTGCAACACCACGTCTTCATCGTTCCGTGATTCCTGCTGAAAAGAGCATGCATTTAGAGGACGTAACTTACGAGAGCTGCTATTTCAAATATGTATTACTGCAACAGTTGCACATTTCACAATAGCATAGAGAAGCGATACCAATTCATACATCTTGAAAAGTAACTACCACCAAAACGAATAGAGGTGATGCCTTTTCGAAAACTATTCGATAGGGCATTCATTCCTCACTGCCCATACCGACATTATGAGGACATTCTTGGGAGAGATGTCTTGAACTATTAAAGTGTTGATGGATGCAGGGAGCTTTCAAGAAGGTTTCATTCAAAATCCAAAAGAACCGTTTGTAACATGAGGTTTACCACAAAGAACTCTTAAACAATGACCTATAAGTATGCTTTAAATATAGCTAAACTGGGTCCAGGAGAGAATTTTTTGTTCTTATTCGACCAGTCACCACTAGTTACAAAAGAATTTCTTAAGATCATTTTTACATGTGTACCCCCAAACATGCTTATGAATTACGTCGACACAACCCAGTTATACGTTGGACATAAAAATCTATTGATAAAACAGACATAAGAAAAATTCTTACGAACTGTAAGAAACCATTGAGATGGCTGTAAGTTTCTCAGGGGTTGGCAGTTGGCCCAGAGCCCTTAGACAGACGGCGAATGAGACTATGGGCTGAAACTCCTCTCTCGTTGCTCTTTCGCGAAAGTATCTTATCCATCCTTCACAATTGCGAGTTTTCAACCTCTGCACGATTTTCACTTGCATGTGAGAGACTGGAGCTTCACGTGTAGAACATTGGGTTCGACAGATTGAGAGACAAAAATTAGCGCCGAGTAGAAAGGTTGGGTTGGGCTCTTCGCCATAGATCTATCCCCTAGCAATGTTGTATGCGACGCAAATTGTTCTTCTCCCTCATACAGGCTCTTTTTCGGATTCGAGCCTGCCTCATCAATGTTCTGAAGCTCACAACGAAAGGAAGAAGACGTTACAGGATCGCGATTACCATCTTCTCCTATCGAAAAAACACGCGCCTTGAAGCCTCATCATTTCCGCAGACCCAATCCTTTTTCTTTGCCGTTCTTTCAATAGGACATACATTCTCGACTGGTCCCTGAACTATCGTATCTCGAAGGGAACACAGCGACAGAGCTTCAAGATGCCGCATACTTTCCTATATTTTATCAGCGCATGCGCAACCGCAGAATTCATTTTGAATCGCACGTCTCCCCTTCTCATCTTGCATGAGCTCTCGACGATCTTCACAACGGCAACCAAGTACTTGCTGTAAGGTTTTAGTTTGAGCAGAGACTTCAAACTTGGAAACGCCTAAGGTCTCAAACCTAAAAGAAAAGCTGGAACTGAGCAACATTGATTCAACCATATCAACTCGACTAAATAACGAGCCACCAAGAAGCAACAGAAAGCCCTACAATCGAGTACTCATTCTTGACGTCAACTTCACAACTCGTTCTTTTCAGTTTCGAATTTAGCAGTGCCGTAGAAAACATATTGTCACTTTTTCATGCATTTCGTAGACGCTTCTCTCGCTCAACAGTAGCATTCGGCAGCACGGATTCCTTTAAGAATAGAATGGAAAATAAATTCAATGAATTCTGTAAAAACACTTGTTCCGTGGAAACTATTGCTCGCTTCTTTGTTGGATTGCCAAACGATTTAGAAAAAATTTCCACTTCACAAATCCTCCCAGAACACCTCTACAACAGTCAAAATATCAACCTAAAAGCGCCACTATTCGAAGAGCCCCTCTAAGGGTCTGTAAGTTTGCCAGCCCGGACGCTACCATAGCACCTCTTCTACGAGCCGCGTTACAACTCGAGCTTCCGAAACGACAGTGCCTTGAATTAGCACTTAAATCGGTTTATTGGCGATGCCCAAAGTTAAAGAAAAAAAATCTTGTTTTTTTTTGAATGTGAGTTGGCCATGTTCTACTATCCAGATCCAAATCCGTTAAACCTCAGAAAAAAACTCCCCCAGGAGTTTGGTTTTTCTTATCGCAGTACATACGGAACTAAAAAGCTGCACGTTAATGACCGCTTTCCAGCATTACCTGTTGCGTTACTAACAGCTATCGACTATATCGTTGTCTTTGTCAGCCTCCAATTAAAGCTAACTCGACACGCCTATCACAAAAATAACGAGCAACTCTAGAAACTAAATTATCACCTTCATAATCTTCCAATTCACTGATCTGACGAACGACGAAAACGGGGTGGTGAGCTGACCGCACAGCAACGGAGAAATCGACTTCAATCAACAGCAGTCATTCATGCAATCTAAACAAGAAAAATCAATAACATTAATATTGAAGGAAACCACCTCAACGACTGAGAAAAGCTGGCAGCTCGGCAACTATACATGAAAAATTGAAGTAAACAAGAATCTAGATTTAACCCAATGTGTAATAAAGACAACTCAAAAAGCGAAAGAAGTTCCATCATAAGGAGAAGCACCAAATCCGACACCCTCTCGCCTGCAGCCTGGTAACGGCGCTGCTGCACTATGGCTACCACAACGTAATTTTGCGTAGACTGTGACGGAACTCCGCATGCGAACCAACTTCGTTGTTTGGGGTGAACGTGGAAGATCCATAAAACGTCGAACTTATGCGTTACCGGACAGTAAGCGGTCGCGTCGCGGCACTTGAGCTGGAGCATGCTATTCTAGAAGGCGGTCATGCGGTTGCACTCAGCATGAGACCACCAAGTTTAGCACGACGTAAATCATCGAATTTCTTCTAAAGGTCTTTCTTCATTCTGACAGTTCTATTCTCTTATGATGTGACAGTTTCCGTCAATATTCCGTACTGTTATTAACCTTACTATGTTTAGCGGAAGCACGTTGCTTAAACTGGTATTTAACATGTGGGACGTCACCCAGCAGTGAACAACTTGAAGTGAGTACTTGTGTTTGAACTCATAAAGTTACCACGCTGTCCCCATTTCCAAAAGACGACCACGAAAGTTTCGATTTCCAAAATTTGAGGTGATGCAATGTTTCAAGGCTCTGTTCAGTGGATTGAATTAAAATTTCATCATACCATAGCATGTTTATTGCGGGTATCGTGGACTGCCTTTTTGACCAGTGCGGCTTTGTTTCGATGGGTACGAATAAGCAGGCTTCCTGCATCCTATTATGAACACTGACTGAACTCGAGGACAAAACCCCACTGTGCGTTAAATAATACCTTTAGCCTGACAACCTGAACGGAAATCCATTCTAAGTAAGTTCAAGGAAGTTCAGAAGCTAAAATACTGCATTCTGAAATGAAGAAGTGGAACCACCACTCGATTTACGCGAAATTGATCTTGTGCCAAGACAGCAAAGCGCTGAAAATGGCCAACCAAGGTAACGAAAAAAGAGCGGAAGATTATGGTTTGTTTGCTTGACCATCCCGCGGAACCTTTGTGGTTAGCGTTCCTTTTCTCAGTTGCAAGAATGTTCAAGTCCTCAAAAAGTATAACATTACTAAATTGCTGATAAGGAGTAAATGCGTGTCACAGGAGCAATGAAGTGGAGCACAACACTGATGTGAGACAAAGGCAACAGATTGGCGGAGGGAAAGAAGGGTACTCGGAATGAAAACGAAGCAGAAAGAAACTGTGCGAAAAAACTAACCTTCGCACTTCTTGCAATAGCTAATCATCTAGGCAACGGGTTGTTTCAAAGTGCTGCCAGAGCAAGAGACGTCCGTTTATTAGGAATTTGGGCCGTGACCTTTGCTACAGCGGATAAGGTTGATCGCAGGTACGAAATGATACCAAGCGATGCAAAAATTGGAAAAATGACAGGTACTACGGTCGCATTAGCGCTCCGACTGCCGACGACCTTTGCGTTGGAGCACGTTGTTTTTAAGCTAACGTGGTCATACTACTATTACTTCTGAAGCGTTGTGTATGTATGTATGTATGTATGTGTGTATGTATATGTGTCTATGTATCTATGTATGTATGTATATACATAGATATGTATGCATGTGTATATGTATGTGGGTATTTGTGTAGTGTGTATTTAGGTACGGGGTTCATAAGGCTGTTGTCAATCAACAATTCTTTTGGTAGGAGAATCAAACAGAAAAGAAGTAACGAGTTGGATATGTATCACAAGAGGGAATCTACTAAGCCAAGAAGACTTTATACATTGAATGGGAAACGAGGGATGAGTGTGATGCGGTCCGGCAAGGGTTGTTAAAGGCTGAACCACTTGAAAACAGCAAGAAAAGTAAAACCTTATCATTCTTGCAATATCAATTAAACAACTGCATAAAATCTTTGAATGTCATACTATTGGAAGTGCCTGTTTTTGGCTATTCGCTTCTTCTTCATGTGTATGAGTGAAATTTGAAGCCAACGACATCCTTCAAGATCCGCAGCAACCATGATTCAATCTGAACCCAACAAGGTGTGTTGTTTGCAATGCATTTGCGGTTTGTTCAAACAGGGGTGAATTTATTGACCTGAGCTCCACTACTCAACAAACTTCCTATAGGCTATGGTGGTTTACGAGTTTATGCTACCGCGGGTGGACTTCCTTCACTTCACTTGGTGATCCACCCCTCACCTTCGGTCAACTTTCGACGGCTGACGCCATAGGAATTTATGTGAAATGTGATGAAATCAAATCAAGAAGTTTTGCCCGTTACACCGCCCACTCCTGTGCATGTTCCGCCCAACAAGGGCCGAGTAAGCTCACATATTCTCTGTTGTTGCTGCCTTACGCCAAAGTACCCCAAGCCTGACCCGACTTCTCCTGATGCTTCTTCAGATAATACGGAATTTCGTGACATACAAACAAAGAAACAGAAAGACAGATGCGATCGCGCATATGTAATAAGGGTTATCGACTGCAAGGTTTGAGAAATAGCCAGCTTTTCGCCTGCGCTTTACAGCTTTTCGCCTGTGCTCTATCTTCTTCGAGGAGAGATGAGATGCATTCGTGTATATGAATGTACGTGTGTATGTCCTGTGCATGTATGTGTGCACAATGTTTGAATGCGGCGTGTATGTGTATGCGTATATGTATAAGTGTGTGTGGCATGTGTGTTTAATTGTGCATATGTATGTATGTATTATGTATGTGTGTCGGAGTATGTGTATAGGTGTGTGTATCTGTGTGAATGGAGGGTGTATGTCGTTTGGCCTTCCTGGGAACACTGGCGGTAGATGACAAGGGTAGACACCACAAATAGGAGACGGGGCGTGGCGAGATCTTTCTTTCACTTCGAGTAAAAACGTTTTAAAAAAGATAAAAAAAGAATCGAAGCTAGCGTTAGTGGAGCAGATATGGCAGGACACGAATGTGGGCGGAACCAAAATCTAATATCGACAGTTCTATCCAGACCAGTCCCAGATTATGCACCGTTTGCTCACAGCTTTGTTTCCTTTAGCATAGAGCGTTTACATATGCTAAGGGGGTAGCAGTCTAAAGTGTTCCTCCGACGACATTGGAGAGATGGGGCGGGAGTGAATGTGGCAATCTAATGGTCAACTGATCTTGATCGTTGTCGATTTGTATTATTCGATATTTGGCTACTAACAATAAGTAATCATTTTTCAAGCCGAAAAGAGAAGGAGGAATGACATGCGTTAGTGTGGCATTCCATTTCTAACACAAAAAAAGAACATAGCTCGATATTAGCAGGGCCATCCGACTGGTATAGCGTGATCAAGGAACAGTAGGAAAGGACAGGAAAATGTGGAGATTTCTTAAAACAATCCCAAAGGAGAGAATGGAAGGTATTGGTGAATAGTACGAAATTATGGTAAAAGAAATAAAGGAAGTATCATAAAAAAAAAACTCCGTACCGAATGGAAGCTTCCAAGCAATTGACGTTAAAAACGTAAATAGACAAAAAAACGGAGTAAAGCCGGCATTTATAACACTTAACAAGTTTGTCAAAGTGACAACAATCGTCAACCTCTGGGATATGTGTCGACGTGGGCACTCTTCTAAAGAGCGCCGAGCGTCAACGACATTCGAGGCCAAACTATGAAAGCTGCTACTACACCCTGGGGGCCTGGACGGCACCGAGTACCGAGGGTGTGGTAGCGAGGGTGACAGAACTTCTCCCCAAATTCCCACGTCCTGCGGCAGTAGTTCCGCGCCGTCTCTCCGTATACTTCCAATGGCTACTTTCTGAGTTTGATTGCTTTCAGACCTCGACGTCCGCCCGTCCGTCCGTCCGTCCGTCCGACGCGTGCGTGCTGCGACGGCGGCGACTGACCGTTGTTGACTACACTAGATCACGTGCCGGCGCTGTCAACACTACTCTAGCGACCGCCGTCGCAGCATGCACGCGTCGGACGGACGGACGGACGGACGGTCGTCGAACTCTGAAAGTAGTCAATGGGTATGTGTCACCTGGTGCGTCCAAGGATGCGCGCGACAAATTGCTTGGCGGAGTTCGTAACAATTTGAACGACTTTAGCGTCTATCACTGGGGCCAAAATTTGAAGTAGATTATATTAGAAGGATAATCGGACCTTGCTAAACTAGTATACTTCAAGTTTGTGCCCCGAAAACTGGCGTCAGAGTCAGTACAAATCTTCACGAACTTCGCCGCGCAAGTTGCCGCGCGCGTCCTCGGGCGCACGAGGTGACCGTCCTCCTGGGAATTGGAACCTTTCACTCCACAACGCGCAATCGCGTGCGGCGAGTGCGACACGACGCTCGGGGAAATAATAGCGGTTCCTGCTAGCGACGTCGTAGACTGGTGCCGTTCCTGGCACCTAGTACGAATGCGCCCATTCCGTGGAAGTGAACGTCCTTTCAAACGGGTCTTTTCCGTAGATGCATTCGGACCCTGCGCTAGACGGACTACACCAAAACTCTTGGTCATGGGCATGTTTCCAGCAACTAAGGCGACGTTTTCGGTATATCGATGAAGTGCGAAAGGAGTTCGCGCGGCGCGGTCGATCGATATATCAAGGGGTTACTTCGCGCTAGGATCAAACACCTCTAAGGCAACCCATCATGACTGTCCTGTCCACTCATTTTACAACATTGCAACTTCTACATTGATTTTGCGTTAGTTTGCTTTGAGAACTGGATTGCTCTTCATAAAATACTTCCTTCTTCCTTGATCAGTTTCTCTGCCTGCCTGTTCCGCCAATATAATGCTTAATACTCTTCCAACTGATGAATTATATTAAATACAGTACCAGGTGTCGAGG